CGCTTCTGGAGGCAGGTTGTTCCACTGGTTAATTGTTCTCACTGTCAGGAAGTTTCTCCTTAGTTCTAGGTTGCTTCTCTCCTTGCTTAGTTTCCACCCGTTGCTTCTTGTCCTGCCTTCAGGCGCTTTGGAAAATAGCTTGACTCCCTCTTCTTTGTGGCAGCCCCTGAGATATTGGAACACATAAAAGAGCCATGGTTGCCTACCCCTGACCTAATCCCTTAGTGACCATTCAAAGCTACAATGGACTGTGCTGCTTCCCCAGATACTTCTCCAGATGTCAGCTCGGAGAAAGATGAACCAGTACTGGGCACAACAGGAGGGGAATTGGTCAATGGCTCCATGCAGCCGGCTGAGAGTGATTTGGCCGTAACACAGCTGCAGCAGGACAGCCCTGAGGCTTCAGGTGGGGAAAGCACGCAGCTGCAGCCGGTCAGCGATGAGGAAGAGGAACTGCCTTCTGCACCTGATCCAAGAACATGCAGGGCAGAGAAAAGGCAGGAGCAGAGAAGGTCAGCCAGATTACTCATGAGGAGGCAGCCTCGCCTTTCTTGATGGGCTGCACCAGAAGTTGGCTATTTAGCACAGCAGACAGATGGAGACTATGTCGGGAACAGTGTGTTTGTTTTCTTGCTGTGTGTTCTCGCCTCGATCGTGTCTCTTCAGCTGTTGCCTTTGCCTTCGCCTGTGGATTTGCCCTTGTCTTGCCTTTGCCTTGGGAAGTTGCTTTTGCCTAGTGGACTGGACTTGCCTTTGCCTTGAGGACTAGGGTTGGCTTCATTTGAGTAGCCTGTGGAAGTCATCGGGATTGAGCTGGTGCCGGCACAGGGAATTGCTAGGGCAGTGGTGGCGAACCTATGGCACGGGTGCCAGAGGCGGCACTCGGAGCCCTCTCTGTGGGCACACGTGCCATTGCCCCAGCCTTACCCCCTCCTGCGACCTTCTCCTCTCCAGCAGCCCCCCTGAAGGAGAGTCGCCCTTGAGCGTGGCCCATACAGAGCAGCACAGCCAAGGACATGGCAGCCAGGCAGCGTAAGACAAGACTCTGCCCTCACACCCCATCGTGCACAGTTGATGCTGCAGGGCGCGGGCAGAGGGTGTGGCCGCCATAGCGCTGGTGGGCTGCCTCGGCGTTCTGTGGCGGGCCCTGGAGGCGGTGAGTGGTCCTGTGGGCAGGCGGGGTGGGGGATGAGGGCAGAGTCGGGGCGGGGCAGGGGGGTGGAGCGGGGGCGGGGCCAGTTTTTGGGCACTCGGTCTCTAAAAGGTTCACCATCACTGTGCTAGGGAATATCACTTCAATCTTAGAAGCCTTAATAAAGACGTGTGTGTGTGTGTGTGTACACGGGTGAGTGGGGTAGCACATGGACCTCCCCAAAAGGTACTTAAGATCCAATTCTGAAATTGTGATGGCCCCCTTGCGGGGGCATTTATGGCCGTTTGCAACAACCTGCATTTATGGCCCTTTGCAACAACCTGTGGTTATGTGACTGATTTGTGACATTTTTGCAGAAAGCCAGCATTTACTTCCACTTTTCGACTTCTTCTTCTTCTGTGTTTAGATCAAACTTTAGACTGCCATAATAAAGCCACCTTCTTGGCCTTATCGTTGCCTATCGTACCTTATTTTTGGTACATGTTTCTGGTAGTAGCTGACATACCAGTAGATGGGCCAGGCTCTGTGTCTCTCCACATTCACACAGCGTATCGTTATCCGCTAAGAGAGCGGCACGTGGCCTAGAGGTGGAATCTCACCTCACAATCAGGAGGCTGTCAGTTCGATCCTAGGTAGTAGCAGATATTTCTCTCTCTGGGCGCAATGTCTGCTGCGAACTCTGCGTAGGCGTCAGGAAGGGCATCGGCCAGTAAACGCTTGAGCTCCGTCCAGTCACCCCGACTCCATCCCAATGCAAGAGATTACAGGGTCATTAAAAGAAAAAAAAATGGCCTCCACTCGACCATATTGGTTTTACACTTAGGCCAGTGATGGCGACCCTTTTAGAGACCGAGTGCCCAAACTGCAACCCAAAACCCACTTATGCATCGTCGGGTGCCGGGTGGGTATGGCCCATTGGCTGGGCGTGGCTCATTAGGTGGCCGTGGCCCATTGGCTGGGCATGGCTGCGGTGGTAACGGCAGACTGGGTGGGACTAAAAAGTTCAATCAATCAATTCCAACTTTGCAAGATCTTTTTTTTCCCCGTAAGAAGTTGAAATTGACTGATTGATTGAACCCTTTTTTTTTTTTGGCACACGGCGGCGGAGGCCTAAAGCGAAAAGGTTTTATAAAACCCAGCTGAAGGCCTAGGACTGGGGCGATGGCGCATGTGCCCACAGAGAGGGCTCTGAGTGCCGCCTCTGGCACCCGTGCCATAGGTTCGCCACCACTGACTTAGACGCTCCAACTCTCAACCTATTCAGGGCCCTCCAAATAGTACAAGGGAAGTCAGATCCTTCAGCCATAGCCTCCTTTAATGTTATTCTTTACTCGATGGTCTCCTTCCTCCATCTTTTAATTCAATTTTGTTCTTGCGTACCCTCAAGAATGTTTGTTCTTGCCATAAAGCTTTTCCTAGATCTGAGTCTGTTTTTCGGCAAAAGTGCCTCGTAGTGAAGAGCGGCTTTGCTTGTCAGCCACTTTATTTGCTTAATTGTCAGGGTGATTTGATTATTGGCGTCAACGTCGCAAGAAAAGGTTGTAAATTGCGATCAGTTACGGAGCAGACTTAAGTTGTAAGTCAAGGGCAACCTATATTTCTTAAGTCCCAACAGATAGCATCGTTTAATTGAGAGGACCTGAAGCGCATACCCGCTGCTCAAGCTTATCGTATGGGCAGAAACAATTGGAGACTGGTGGTCCCTCAAATAGCCAGCCTATTCCATCCATTATAGGGGATGACGTGCACCTTGAATTCTACCCAAAGGCCAACTGGCAAGCATTGGGGTTCGCACAGCACTGGGGTCACATGGATATATTGAAGCGAATAGAATAGAATAGAATAGAATCTGGAAGGGACCTTGGAGGTCTTCTAATCCAGCCCCCTGCTCAAGCAGAACCTATACCGTCTCAGACAAGTTATTATCTAGCCTCTTCTTAAAAATCTCCAGTGATGGAGCGCCCATGATTTCTGGAGGCAAGCTATTCCACTGGTTGATTGTCCTCCCTGTCAGGAAGTTTCTCCTTAATTCCAGCTTGCTTCTCTCTTTGATCAGTTTCCAACCATTGTTTCTCGTCCTGCCCTCTGGTGCTCTGGTGAACAACCTGACCCCCTCTGCCTTGTGGTAGCCCCTCAAATACTGGAATACTGCTATCATGTCTCCCCTATTTCTTCTTTTCTTTAGACTAGCCAAACCCAAGTCTTGCAGCCGTTCTTCGTATGTTTTAGTCTCCAGGCCTTTGATCATCTTAGTTGCTTTTCTCAGAATTTTTTTCAAACTCTCAATATCTTTTTTGTGGTATGGTGACCAAAATTGGCTGCAGTATGCCAGGTGTGGTTTTACTAGGGTTTTACTGCATGTACTGTGGTTGATTTACTCTATTATTCTGTAAATAGAATCATTAGAAATCTCACTTTTTTTCCCGATATAAGAAAAAGTAAGATTTGACAGCTAAAATAACATTATAATCACAAGTTCCATTTTTTTTACAACCTGATTGTGCTCAAGGTTGATTTTAAAAATACCCTAGCTGTATTTTATCTTTCAGTGCATCACTTCCTTATGTTTTAACTTTATTAAATTCTCAGAACAGTGATCTAAAAACCCATATCTCCCTCCATGACTCAGGCGGTAGAACAGAATTTGCTACGTTTTAATTCCTCATTTTTGTGCTAATTTTTTCTTTGTAGATTCCTTGGGTTTGAGAAGGCTGGTTGAAACAAAACCTGACAAGAGATATTGCAAATTAAAGTAGTCTGTGCACTGTAATTACTCAATTTATTTTATGAAGTTGCCCAATGTAATTTAGAAATTTAATATATACTAATTACATTGGGTAACTGCATAATACAGATTAGGGCCGGGTCTTTGAGATAACCCACATAAATAAAGAACATCATTTGTTCTTATTTCTCCTCCTCTCTATACAGGACACCTGGAACTCTTTTGCTTTTATGAAAAACGTGATCACATCAGTAACAACTATGCATTAAGGAGACACTGAAGGGAGAGAAAAACCAACTAAAAGAATGAATAGTGAAGAGGAATTCTATGATGCTGTCACAGGTAAGTTAGCACAGTATAAAGTCTAAATTTGTAAGAAACCAGGATACTGGGTTTTTGTCTTGTGGCACACACATAATATTGCTGGGAAGGCAGCTGTCTTAGGGCCCATAACACCCCCTTTCCCTATGCCTTATGCCTTCAAACTTTTTCTTTCAACAAAACAAACCTCTCTGATCACATCAAGCCTCAATAGGAGCCTAGCAAAAGAGCAGAACCACCATGATCTCATCACCATACCTCCTGCTTCTGAGTCAACCACTGCTTTAGCAGCAGCCTTCGTGGAAGCAGAGCCCTTGGAGGTCCTAGTAGTCTGCTGTCCTCTCTCTTCCTCTTTTTAATTGTCCTCCTTCCTGCTAGCGAAGGAACCCAGAATGAACAAGATTCTCAGGGAAAGGGGTAACCAGCTTATCAAGTGCAAAAGACCAGGATCCCATGTGAAGGTCCAATTAAACTGATTTCTTGCTAAAGAGAATCTTCTCAGCTAATGGTTACTGCATGCTTGGAGTCAGATAAGAGTCCACGGAATTCAAGGGGGACGTTTGGCTACGTAGGGATTCTAGGCTGGTTCCTCTTTTAACTCCACCCCCACTTTAACTCTGCCACTCCTTTTCTTATAGACCTTCAGTCATTTCCATGTTCTGAAATGGTATAGGGCAGGGTCTCCTGCTTGAGCAGGGGTTTGGACTAGAAGACCTCCTGGGTCCCTCCCAACTCTGTTATTCTGTTTGTTTCTCAAATTGTTAGACAATTATTTTTTCCTTAGGAAATTTCCTTCCTTCCTTCCTTCCTTCCTTCCTTCCTTCCTTCCTTCCTTCCTTCCTTCCTTCCTTCCTTCCTTCCTTCCTTCCTTCCTTCCTTCCTTCCTTCCTTTCTTCCACTGGGCAAATGGGAGATAAAGGCAAGATTGCAGAACCTCACGGCACTCATTCTTAAGTACCTTAACTTAGTACCCTAAACCAGGGCTTTTCAACCAGTGGTATGGGGTACCACCTGTGGTACATTGGCACCTGGCAGGTGGTACACGACCATCCTAGAAAAGTGGTAGCCGGGGAGGGGAATAAGCTGAACTGGTGGCAGCACTGCACAACCCTGAGCGAGAGACGGCTGGAGCTGCAGGGCTGTCAGGGCTCAGCGGAAGCACCAGGATCAGCACCAGGCTCCAGCTGGAGCTCTGCGCTGAGCCTGGTGCTTCTGCTGAGCCCTGAAGAAGCACCAATCAGCTGGAATGTTGCAGCATCTCCAGGGTCTTGTGATTTACATTCAGATGCTTGGCAACTGATTCATATTTATGACAGTCACAGTGTCCCAGGGTCATGTGAAGTGACCAAAACCTGCTGCAACCACTCAGCAGATGGGGGGAATAAAAACCAAACATACCCCCACCCCACCCCCGCTGCCAATCCTCAACAGAAATGCTCACAACAATGAAAACCTCGGACAGGAGGAAGAGCGCCACCGGGCGGGCAGGCAGGTGTCTTGCTCGGCTGTGGCTTGGGGGGCACTTTTTTCAGTGCCATTGTAACTTCGAACAGTCACTAAGCGAACTGTTGTAAGTCGAGGACTACCTGTACTTTATCACTTTTCCCCCTTTTTTGGGGGGGGTCATCAAGTTTTTGACACCTTGTTAGGCAACTGGTGGTACTCGGATATTGCCATATCCTAAAAGTGGTACAATGGGTGAAAAGGTGGAAAAGCCCTGCCCTAAACTCTAATCATGTGTTAATTTCCTAACCTTGTCTCTCCCAGGCTGCTTCACACATCACTATTTTCTATGCAGATGAACATTATTATTTTGTAAATGAGGTTTGATTATAATACAGTTCATTCTGCGCACCGCACTTGCTGTGTGTGTATTGAAATCTCTTGCATGTGAGAAGACGACTGTTCCCATTCTCACATGCTCTAATAACAGAGTTAAGTGCCCCTGTGCTGACAAAAATAAACCAGAAAAGAGCCAGGAAAAACAAAAGAGAAAAACTAGCACTCTTGAACACACGGTCATGCATACTTAGTAATACCCACAGCCCAGCATATCTGACGGTCATCCAGAGCCTTGCCATATTGTTTTAGAAAAGCAACAAGCAAACATAAGGAATTGATTGGCTCATTTGACTTCTTAAAACTTACAACTTACAGGAAGGCATAACCAGATGGCCCTTTTCTTATTACCACCTTGAAAACTAGATTCTAATGGTAGTTAAGTAGCTATGATGGTGGCTACTCCTTAAGGGGAAAAGGCAAAAGGCATATTTTGGTTTGAGAGAAGTGGACTCAGAGCTTTGTGAGGGTAGAGATGAAAACAAAAACTAGAAAAACAGGTGACTGCTGTTTCCAAAATTAACAGGGAAGGCCAAGAGTTGAGCAAAAGAAACGGTGCTGTTTAACAATTACTCCAGCTTGCCAGATGATTTCTTCAGAGGAAAAAAATTATCAAATTGATTGTCTTGGAAATATAGCAGAGGATGCTCTCTTAATTGCAAATAATTACATTATATATATCCGGAAGCATTGGGAATTACCACCTACAGAATAAGTGTGCTACACTGCTTTTTCTCCAAGCTCTATAAAACTAGTTCTGTGAATAACAAAGTATATACATAAAATGCATTCTAGCTATTAACAGTTCCGTATAAATGTCAGAACAATTTTAAACGTTTGCCATCATCATTTATTAGACTCCTAACCTCCCATGATGAAAAAAAAGACTTTCAACAATTATATTCATTGTTTTTCAAACTTGGGCAACTTTAGGATGCCTAATCTCAGAATTCCCCAACCGCCATCACTTTCTTCTGTTCTGAGTAAAGGCTACAGTTGGCACACTAAATTAAGTAGGTATCTTTTAGGGGTCTGTCAACCAATCGTAAGTCGATGACTACTTATAAAATTGGATCTGCTCACGTGAGGTTGCATATCATTTGTCCTGTTTGTTCTGCATCCACTTAATATGATTTAGAAATTGAATAGGTAGATGGTTGATTTATTCAGCTTCTGAATTGTATTTCAAAAACAGTAAAAATAAATGTTCGCAGTTGTTCTGAATGTTGTGTTAACCATTTTTTCAGATTGTCAGGTCTCTGAAAGTTCAACCTTGTTTTTGTAATTCTTTTGAACTATGTGGTTGATTAGAAGATATTGCAATCAATGAGGTATTTCTGACTATTTCAGTGAGAGAGTCTCAAGAGATTTCACGTTTGTTTCATTAAAGATTAAATCTTGCAATCTACATGAATTATTGCCTCTCCATTCAAGCCCATGCAGCCCTAGGCTGCATCAACAGAGGGATAGTATCAAGATCACAAAGTGTTAATACCACTTTACACTGCTTTGGTAAGACTACGCTTGGAATGCCGCATCCAGTTTTGGTCACCATGATACAAAAAAGATGTTGAGACTCTAGAAAGAGTGCAGAGAAGAACAGCAAAGATGATTAGGGGGCTAGAGGCTAAAACATATGTTGACTGTTGCAGAAACTGGGTATGTCTAGTCTAATGAAGATAAGGACTAGGGGTGAAATGATAGTATTTGAGGGGTTGTCACAGAGAAGAGAGGATCGATCTATTCTCCAAAGCACCTGAGGGCAGGACAAGAAGTAACAGATGGAAATTTACTAAGGAAAGTCTTGTGCTCAGTCTAGAACTAAGGAGGAATTTCCTGACAGTGAGAACAATTAACCAGTGGAACAGCTTGCCTCCAGAAGCGGTGAATGCTCCAACACTGGAGGTTTTTAAGAAGAGATTGGACAGCCATTTGTCCAGAATAGTACAGGGTCTCCTGTTTGATCAGAAGATCTTCAAGGTCCCTTCCAATTCTGTTATTCCAATTTTTTTCTATGTATGCTTTGTATAAAAGCTTCACTTTTTAAAGTAAATTATATATTTTTTCACCTTGTAAGTCCACAACCCTTTCTGTTGATTTTGTTTTGGCAGGATCATCCTTCATTCTAGGAAAGTTTTCATTCTAGGAATTATAATTTGCTGTTTGGGAAAAGTATTTGTTTTCTCTTTGTGCTCAGCTTAAGATTTATACCCAATTGAAATCTCAGACAGAACTGAAATTCTGTTTATTTGAACGATTGGTGAGAACAGTCATCAATATTTTACGTCACACATGGAGATCCTTAAATCGTAGGATGAGTTTACCTATGTGAAAGTTGTAATATGACTGAAGAATTACTGATAAATATTCTGAGAGTAAATTGCAAGTCTTGCTACTTTGCAGAAGTTTAGTTCTGTTGAAGCAGTAGAAGATTATCACAGTACTTTATGAGAGTATTTTTTTAGCGATTTATCTTATTTGGCTTCCTCTGATGCTTCTAAAAACGCCATGTTTGTTAAAGTCTTGGAAGAATTAACAGATGTTCCTAAGCTGATACCATATTTATTTATATACAGAACTGAAGAGAACAGATGAAATAGATAACAATTATTTAGGCAGCCTTTGGAATGATAAGCTTGAGCGTCTTGGTTTAAAAATAAAAATCAGTAGATTGACCCCATTCCTCTGAAGGGTTAAGACCAGTTTGGGAGAATCAGCACACTGGTTTATCCTGTTTTTTTCTTCTTCTTTGTTTCTCAAAACATGTTTTCACCCTTATTGCGGCTATGCCATTACAAACATAGGAGAAAATACCATTAAGTTCCAACACATAAAAAACAAAAACATATTCTGGAAAAATCTGGAATTAAACTTGTTGGGTTAGCGTCTTTATAAATAGAGAAGATCTTGTTTTAATTACAGAAGAGCATGAAAGGAATGAAATTGGCATCTGCCGTGTGAAGTGGTTTAAAACTTAGGCATAGGTTTCGCCACCCCGATAAATTGGTAAAGAGTTGGCTTTTATCTCCCTTTCTGTAGCGATTGCATTGACCGACAATAAAACAAATTTACACTACTGAAATAGCCAGACATCATAATAATATTTACTTAATGTCACCTAAAAACGAATGTGTTTGTGGCGTTCTGGACTCTGAAAGAAACTGTACAGTGTATCAGGATTT